CCGCCGCCGGCCCCGCCGCTGCCGGGACACCCGCACCCGCCGCCCGCCTCCCGCTCCCTGCTGGCCGCCCTCGTCCTGCTGGGGCTGGGACAGGTGGTCTGCAGCGTGGCCCTCTTCCTCTACTTCCGAGCCCAGGTAAAGCGGCGTCCCTGCCGGAGCCCGGGATGCTCCTTTCGGGAGAGGCGAAGGTGGTCGCGTCCGTGGGGCTGGGGAGGTTAATCTGAAAACGGGCGGTGAACGCCTTGATCTTGGGGTGAAGTTGGCCCAGCTGGAGGGCTCCAGGGACCCCGCCGGGCCTTTGCTGTGTCCCTGTCACTGCGTCTTCAGGTGTTCGGCACCTGAAGGCGGCTGCGAGGAAGGTGGGGAGGGACTTCGTACAAGGGCAGTAGCGATAGGATAAGGGGTAACGGCTTTAAACGGGAAGAGGGGAGATTTGGGTTAGACGTGAGGAAGAATTTCCTCGCTTTGAGGGTGGTGAGACACAGGCCCGGGTTTCCCAGAGAAGATGGAAGTGTTCCACTGCTGGAAGCGTTCCAGGCCAGGTTGGATGGAGCTTTGAGCAGCCTGGGCTAGCGGGAGGTGTCCCTGCCCGTGCAGGGGAGTTGGAACCAGGTGGTCTCAAGTTCCCGTCCAACCCAAACCGTCCTGTGATTCTGGGTAGTGCTGTGGCCCAGTGGCACATACTGAGGTACAGGGCTTCTCAGTGAGGTGGCATGTGAAGGGTCCCTGACTCGGGAAGCAGCACCGTGGCCTGAAGTCTTGCAGGGCTTTGATTTTTTAATGCTCAGCTTTCAGTTATTCACCAGAAAGTGGCACGGGATGCTTCTGAAGAGGCAGCGGGGTGCACAGAAAGGAGCACAGAGAGGTGCTGCTGCCGGGGAGATAGGGTGACAGGCGGTTAGGCTTTCGGAGAGAAGACGAGTCTACTTCTTAGAAACAGCTCGGCTGGCTGGCTGGATTCACTTACTGCTGCATCTTTTACCCTCTGTGGCTGAGCCCTCTTGGAGGAAGTGGGGGGCTGCTGGCTGGTTGCTTCTCAGGGCTAGGTATTAGCTTTCTGCTTGGCTGTTTTGTTGGATGCTAGTTACTTCTGTTGATAAGGATCTCGCTGCCTTCATGGAAGTGGTACTTCTGTTGTGTGTACTTTCCATTTGAAGTCAGAGGGGAGTGGAAACCTGTTTCTTTCGGTTTACTTTCTAGGTAGATGTGCTTGATCTTGATGTAGCAGACTGGATTTCTTAACAATGTGCACTCCGAAAACAGGTGTTGCACAAGTGTGTACCCACTCAAATGGACAAATGACTATCAAATACACAGTAATGCTGCTGATCATTTATTATACAGATCAATTTGTATTTTCTTACCGACAACGTCTTTGTGTTGCCATTTTTACAAAAATAAAATGGAACAGCAATACCATAATTAATAATATCCTGCGTGCTTAGAAGAGTGACATACAGCTTCTGGGACTAATTGTAAAGTATCTTAAAGCTACTTGTTTGCTTGACAGTGAAGTAAATTAGTGCTTGTGGCAGAGAAATGTTCTTCTGTCCAGATCTGCATGAACTTGAAAAGATGACCGTGTCAGAACTTACCTCATAGAAATACACAGCTATGCATTGATTAGTAGGCTAGAGAGTCATTGCAATCTAAACAACTGATTAAAATATACTTCTTGAAAACTCTGCATTTCCGTTCTCTTTACCTTCCACTGCCCTTATTTAGGACTCTTTCTGATAGGTTCATGTCAGTGCTTCACACATGCCAAACAAAGGGGAAAAAGAGCTTTTCTACCATAATGGTTATTTTTCTCCTGCATTCTTGATTAAAAAGATTACATAATCTGAGTGTAATTCTGCATTTGGCAGCTTAATTTTCTTGCCAGTTTCTTGTTCCTATAGATTTTGAGTAATGCTGTTGGATGCAGTCCTTGGTAAACTTAAACTTTTGAAACATCTAAAAGAGACGATGTAACTAGATGTAGACTTGACTGAAGTAATTGCCTGAAAAATTTCTAATGGACTAAATGTCTCCTTTGTCATTACTGAAAATTAGAATAATGGATATACTTTTAAGTAAGTACATAATTCACCAAAATAAGGTGTCTTAATCCATATTTGCTCATCAATCTCCTATTGTGAAATAAGTTAGATGGAAAAATGTAGTAGGTCCTTATTTAACAGTGTTGCATATTGTTTTATATATATGGGACATGATCCAACCCTTTTCTTTCAAAAATATTACTTTAAAATTTAGTTCTGTTAGGCCATATACATTTATTTGTACTTTTCAGTATGAATTTCAGCTGTCTGAATTTGTAAATTTAATAACAGAACTTAAGTATTGTGATGTATTTCATTAAAATAATGATAACTTAATGGTCATAGCTGTGCATAAAGAGATTTGAATTATTTGGTTAATGAATTAACCAAATGTGAATTAGGAAGATTTAACTGTACAGGCTAACATTAAGAAGTTACATGTTTTACAAGCTCTTTAAAACTCTTACCTAAGAGGCTCAGTGAACTCTGACTCAGTTTTACCATACACATTTTATCTGTATTTGCATAAAATCATCTGGGCTGGATCATGACATAGTAGGAGTTGAGACAATAGTTGAGGTTTTGGTTTTTCCCTAGTTTTGTTTCTTTTTTGGCCTGAGCATTTGGAATTTCACAAGACACATAACTAAGACTGACACTGGATTTTCACGGGTAAACACGTTTGTGGCCGAGAAATAATGCAGCACAATGCAAGTGAGACAATGAGGTGGTATATCTAAAAAGAAAGGAAAAGTTGAGAACCAAATTTTACCAATGTTCTGGTAATAGTGTTCTGAAATGTAGAAACATTCAGATGTTCTGGCTTTTCTTTTTGGACCATCTTGCACAATGCACTGAATCCAATAAATTAAACATCTATAAATTATATTGGTCTTAAGTGTTTATACTTCATGAGGTATATTGGCTCATGATGAATGAAAGTGCCATGGAAGTTTAGATACTTGGAGCAGCTGGAGATCCATATGCAGTAGAGAGTTATGCACAGTGCAAGGTGAGAGACCAAAGTATTTTATTTAACTTTCATAAGTAAATGCTGAAATATAGTCTCCAAAAGCTTTGGTTTTTTTTTTCTTTCTGACCCATTTCCTTAATGTACTTAGATCATAAAAGGGTAAGAATTTGGTCTAAAACTGACTGAACTGAAGGGCAGTGAGACAAGCTGAAAGTGCTCAAATCCAAACTGGGGGCTGGATATCTAACTCCTGTAGAAATGCAAATTTTTTCCCATAAAAATATTAATGATAAAAAGTCTCTACAAACGTGGTGTTCTACCACACTGAAAAACTCACACTTTGATAAATGGGGACCTAGAAGGCAAATTTTTGTTGTCACTTGACTCATTTGTGGAATTCTGACTTTCTTAACATTATGTTTTAAAAAAATTGCCTTTCAGACTTCATCTAAAGTTTCATGAACATTCTAGAGCAGTGGCTAACAGCAAACATCTTGCTGGGGATCATTTGCACTTTCTGGAAGCCTGGAAGAACCCCTTCTTGGTGGTTGAGAAATATCATAGAGTGCAAAGTGATATTTTATAACCTGGAAATTGGTTTAAGTTTGAAAATAAGCACAAGTTGAAACATTAAACATTTGTAAGGAGTAAGTGCAGAATGGGATACTGTAACGTTGCATAACTGAGGCAATACTTAATAGGTAAGGTGGCTGGAATGCATTGTATCTTTTAAAATCAAACAATATTTTTATGACCCTGACAATTTGTTCTTTATTATGTAAATTCATGTGGCCTTACCCACAGTGCTGGAGTTCATTTGGCTGCCCTGAGTTAAGTGAAAAGAGTCCAGACATTCAACTAGAATGCTGAAAATCAAGGGGCACCGAAAGATTTGGTCTGATTCCATGGTCAGACACAATGGTTATATATTCACTAGTAACATAGAAAAAGTGAGCTAGACACTCCTCTCTTTAAATAGATTAGTTCCTCTAGGGAATTAATCTTACCCAGTGTGTTATAAATCTTTCTCCAGTGTTTTTGGTTGCATCTTGATTTTTCTTCCAGGTATTAAATCTTAAGGACTTCATGCTGAAGGTCTCTGGGCCTTGCACATTAGCAAGCTGCTTCCATTCTGGTATAAAATACCATTCTGGTATTGTATCTGGCTCTTTAGAAGTTCTTCTCAGAAGAACTTTTCTGCTTGAAAGTTTTTCTGTGCATCACTTCTTGCCCACAGTTTTGGTCTCAGCGCTTGGTAATGTCTGTTTACAGCCATGGTGGTTCAATACGTGTTCTTTACAAAGATGCAAGATGCAGAATTTCTGAGAATGCCTGTTCAGGCAAGTGAGCTGATTTCCTTGGTTAAATGTGGTGAAGACTAGGTATTCTTTGAAAAAGGTAAGGGCAATCAGGTAGGTTAGCGGATCTCGACATCTGAGCTTCACCTTATCAAACACTAAATCTCTAGAGACCTGCATTTTGTGGGATGCCTGCACAGCTTGAAGTTGCCCGAGCTATCAGTTACAGAGATGCTGGCTTTCTGTCTTAAATCTGCAGCAGATAAACTATAATCTGAGTAAGTGCTCCTGTACAGTCTGCTGTTAACTGTTCTAGCATAGTGTTGTGTGACACGTTTGACTGACTGCTGGTGGGTGAGAGCTGCAAGCCTATGGTACACATGATTTGTCGTGATGGATACTCAGGCCTCTACAAATTTCATTCAAATTTTGCGCCATAAACCCCAGTTTTCTTGTCCATTTTTTGAAGATGTGTTTAAATGAAACCGAACCTGGGGTAATAGTCTTTTGAGTAGTAGAATTACTGATCAAAATTAGTATCTATTGGCAGTTATTTCCTGTGGCTATCTATCATCTATCTTACAGTGTGTGTGAAGGGAGAAAGACACATTCAGATTCTGTTGAAGACCCTAATCTGCTCAGGTCTCTAGCAATCCCAATGTAAGAGGCTATATCTGGAATAATGGGTCCTATTTTGGGTCCCTCAGTACCAGGGATATATCTGCAAACTGGAGAGAGTCCAGCAGAATTCTGCCATGGTAGGTAGTGGTTATAGTGTATTAATGTACTTTTAGGGATCACCTTTACAGTAGATAAATCTAGTGCTGCCTTCCTGCTGTTTCATAGAATCATAGAATGGTTTGGGCTGGAAGAGATAAAAATTTCATGCCTATGCTTGTCCCAGTACCAGCTCTGATGCTTGTCTGATACCTGGAGTAAGTTGGTTTTGGGGTGCTAATCTTTCAGGAAATTGTATCAGCAAAAATTCCTCCCTGGTGTTTGATGTAGAGGAGGATGAGACTGAGAATCAGGAATGAAATTTTGTGGCAAAGAAGATGAGAGCAGAAACGTGCTAGTTTAGATTGCTCAAGCTTTTATTTGGACTGCACTGCACTAGCTGACTTCTTAAGTCATTAGTGTAGATTTTAGTGCATAGCTCATAGAGCTGTAATGGCTATACACAGATTTTCTTTTGGATTAAGCTGTGTCAGGCCACCCCTGGAAGATGTTGCTGCCCCCACGCCATTCTGTAACTCATCTTTACCCCTCTGCTCAAAGCTGTGGCATTTTCTGATCTTCAGGTGTACCTTTTCTGACCTGGTTCATTCCAAATCTGCAGGGATAACTGAGACAGCTAAACCAGGTCACAGAGGCTGATGTTGGTCAGAATGAATCAGGCAAACAGCTCTCATATGGAAACTTCTGCAGAAGGATGATGCTGGAGGAGGCAGCATTTGGTGTTGCCATCTGTGCAACAAATGCTTCTCTGCAGTTTGTGCCCGTTCGGTGGCTGCCTGGCTGGTGCAGACTTAAATGCACCCCTGTCATCCTAACCTTATGCTTTTAAGTTAACTTAGTTCTTTTTGGAGGGTAGGCAGTTGAATTTATTTTTGTGTGAACAAGTGATACGTTGTGTTTGATTCACTCTGGCTGTTTTGAATTCTGCAAAACTTTCCTTTGATACTTGGTTTTGTTTGTTGGTATGTTAAAGGAAACTGAACACTGCTCAGGCACTATCCCTAGTGTCTTGGCATTCCCTCATCATGATTACAAATCGTGTATTTGTAATTCATAGATAATTTTTTTTTCTTCCATCTTATTTAGAAAGATAGATATAAATGTTCTTTATTAGACCAGCTAATAGAGGTAGAGAACTTAGACAAGCTTTTGTGTGCACAGACCTTTCAAGCCTAAAGTAAAAGTGGAATAAATACAAGTTGAGAACAATTGCTGAGTCTCTTAGGTCATATCTGAAAAATAATGGTTAATATCTTTGGCCACCACAGTATAGGAGGGACACTGAGGTGCTGAAGAGGGTGCAGAGAAGGGCAACTAGGCTGCTTATGGCTCTGGAAAGAACAGATCTTATGAGGAGAGGGTGAGGGAGCTGGGGCTGTTTAGCCTGGAGAAGAGGAGGCTGAGGGGAGATCTCATTGCTCTCTACCACTACCTGAGAGGAGGTTGTGGTGAGGCAGGTGTTGGCCTCTTCTTCCTAGTGACCAGTAATAGAAGAGGAAATGGGGTCAAATTATGACAGGGGAGATTCACATTGAATATTAGGAAAAAATTATTCACAGAAAGAGTGGTGAGGCATTGGAACAGGCTGCCCAGGGAGGGGATGGAGGCACCATCCGGGGAGGTGTTCAAAAACCAGGTAGACAGGGTGTTTCAAAACATGGTTTAGTGGTTATAGAGTGGACAATTGGACTTTATGACCTTGAAGGTCTTTTCCAACCTTGAGGATTCTATGATTCTATATGGATAGAGACTCTGAAATAGTTTAAAAAATGTATGTGTGATTGAACTCTGCAAAGCATATCTCCTAGTTCTTGAAATATCCTTCCAGTTTATCTAACTGGTAGAATTCAGGAGTATTCTAAACTTACAGTTTAAAAGTATCTTTGATTCAGTCACAAAAATTGCTAAAAACATCTTCTAGATATTCCAGATTGACCAGTCTTTGTCCCATGAGGCAGAAGCGTCTTGTGATACAGTTTTATCATCTTCGTGCTGTCTTACTTGGTGACTGTTTCATATCCCACAGAATAGCAATAGTCCACAAAATAATTTCAGTGATAATTGATTTCTGTTCTTCTCTTTCTCCTTTCAAAAATTATGTGCTAGATGTACATACTTGCCCCTAGTTCCTCAACTTGGTATCTTGCAAACGTAGTTTTTACAGATAGGGTGGCTGTGTATGTTGCCTGCTAATAATTGTGATATTGCACTGAGTGGTTAAAAACTGCAGGTCAGGATTATTGATTTTACTATAAGACTGGGATTTATCTTTAACTTTTGAAAGCCAGACATCCAGTCTAAGCTAATGAACTAGGCAGCTCCAGAAGATAATTAATTCTTCTATCTCACATGCTTGTTGGATTAAATAAACCTCCATGTGGGAACTTTCTTCATCGTTTGCACTAAAAATTTAGATAATAAACTTAGCTAGATGCCTAACTTTTAGATGGTTGAAAATTCTTCATGACTTAAATGGTCCGAATGTCACTTGGACAGACACTTAAAACTGTGGTTGTGCTTACATTTTTGTTTCAGATGGACCCTACTAGAATTTCAAAGGAACATGCACACTGTGTCAGAACACTTTTTGGACATCAAGAAAATACAGATTTGCATGATGCATCCTTTGAAAATCAAGAAGCAAAGTTAATGCCAGAATCATGTAGAAGCATGAAACAGGCTCTCCAAAGAGCTGTGCAGAAGGTAAGTGGCAGACTGTGTGTTCCTGTATATAGTGCTCCTGTTGAACTAACAACAATTTTTCCAACACCTGTATTTGGAGGTAAGTTCTAGAAAATATTTTCTGGTATTTGAATAATACCTGACATTGCATCCAAGATCATATTGTGTTTGCTTATGAACCTAGTAGTGGTTAATCAGTTCTGTATCAAAACACCGTTCATTCATTCATTCATTCATTCAGATTTTAGGTAACAATGAGAACACTATTACTACAGTTAGTTTATTGGTCATTTTGACATTTGGATAGGCCTGACTGGTAGTAACTTATCCTAATATTTGTACAGGTTTGCCCAGAGTTTGGATGTTCATAAAAAAGGACAGTTCCACACTTTTTTCAAAGCAGTCTTCTTGACTGTTTCTGAGAAGATTCTCCCAAGTCAAGCTCATCAACAAGCAAAGTATTGTCTGAAGGATGGAGGAGATAGTATTTGCTCTCATTTGCTTTTCTTTCTTACTGTTTCTGCAGCCCAGAATAGGGATAGTATTTGGCATAGCATGATAACAGAGCAGTCTATCCCCAGCAGTTGAGAATGAGAGCTTGATCACAAACCCAGGTAACAGCAGTAGTCACCTACAGAAGTCAGCTCTAATAAGCCTAGGCAAGCTGGATATATGTCACAATCACCTCTTACTTTATTTTACTGCTTTTCAGATCTTTGCATGTTCATGACAGCATTTAGTGCTAATTACAGGCTATTTACAAGCTGAGTGTCTACTGTGGTATTTGATTTTCCTGGCTTATATAGGTCCATTACTACTTCCTAGGTAAAACTCAGTTTTTCATGAAGAATACTACATTAGATTTGATCTCAACTCATATACACTTTACAGACTGAATTGTACTTGAGTTAATTATGTGGTACTTTAATTTTGCTAGCCACCTCCTTGAAAAGCTTAAGGGGAAAAAAAAAGTTTAACTCTGTAGGGTTAGTTCTATCTTCTAGCATTTTATTAACTGTCTCATACTACACTTACTTACACTTGTGTTCTTATACTAGACTGCTCATTCCTGCAGGTCCCATGACAGAATAAAAGAGCTTATTACAGTAAGTGAATGTGAAGCCCTGAGTTCTGGTCATTTGCTGCTAGTTACTCAACAAAGGAATTTGCTTTAGTAAAGGCTAAATATCCTGCCATTCTAGATGGAGGTTAAATGCTGCAATGTCCGTGGCCAAGATAAGTAGTGAGTAGGAATAACTTCTTTGGCTGGTGACCATTAGTTTGAGAAAAATAAAATCTCCCTTGCCAAAGTAATCAGTCTCTGAATTCCCTTTGAATGCAACAGAATGTATTAAGCAGCTGGGTCAGTGTTCCGGGTGCTTTGTCATCATATATTGATGACAGAGAAAAATAGGAAGATGCTTGCCTGGGGCTACATTTGCATATTTTCGTTATAATAAAGAAGTGAAAGAAAGAGGGTTAAGGCAAAATTATACCCATACCATGTTCTGTGGGCTCTGCCTTTCATTGGCTCAGATACAATGAAAGGTCGAGATGCAGCTGAATCTTACTTCCAGTTGTGCTGGTCCTTTCTGCATGAGAATTCAGCCAATGTGACTTGAAAGAAATTTCCCACCATCTGTGCTTTCTTCTCTTTCCTAAAGGAGAATCTAACCTGTGTGTGTTTTAAGAACCAGTATCCTTATTTGAATTGGCAGCATGTTAAATGACTGAAAGGGAACACTTAAAAATACTGCTTAGGTTTTGTGATTTTTTTCATCAATATTTTGTCTTTTGCAATTCAAGCTGTTCAGGAAATGAAAACAGACAAATTGTTTTTACTCAGGCTTATGGTCTGGTTACAGCTTTTAGCTTACTGCACTGGTTCTCGTCTGTTTTCTTTGCACACCTGTAGAACTAGTGCTTAAATCTAAAGCAGGATTCAATGTTGAAAATGAAAGTGCTTTTATAAAAACCAGTGTAGCAGGGCTGCAAATTTGAGTCTAGAAACATTTGCCTCCTAAAAAAAATAATGATTATCAAATATTTTCTTTTAATCAAAATGGTGAAGCCCTTAATATATTCAGGATAAAAATACTGCTCAGGGGGTAGCTTGCTCAGTGGAAAGCACATTTTCAGTATGGCATATAAACTTTTGAGCAAACAAATAATACACTTTCCTAGCCTGTCTGTTTGCTTTTTGGTTTTTTTTGCATGTAACCCTAAAAACTTTGTGGGAGTCCAGATGCAGTAACCACAGTTCTTATGAAGTCTGTTATCAGCCTGAAGTAGAAAGGACTACAAACATGTATTGGGTCAATTCGTAAGTGATTTTTCTTGGCCATACTCCCAGCTTCTAGCAGCTTGGGGAGTTCAGGCGTAAACTAGCCTCCCACATGGCAACAGAGTACTTTGCTAGACCTCCATGGCAGCACTTACAGAATGCTGTAGACTTAAGAGACGTTTAAAGTGCATGTAATTACGGACAAAGTTGCATCTCATGGGTGATTGCTGTAAGTTGTTAAAATGTCAGTTTCCATCCTACCAGCTTACATACCATTTTAATTTTTTTTTTCTTCAAGCAATATGCTACTCATTTGCAGAGAAGTTGTAGTGCTGATCTCTTAAGTTATCTTCTGGTGAATATAGGTTCATGTACTTTCTATTTCACTTCCTTCCTTATTAGCATACTTCAAGTTGCTGCATTTCCAGCAAGATAAGCAGGTACTTCTTCCTGGTATTAGCTTGAGCTAAAGCATTCAGGTAGTAGAAGAAACAACTTCATGTAAGAAATTTGGTTGATTGGTTTGTTTTGTTTGATTGTTTTGTTTTTAAGATGCTGACATGCTAAGGGTTAGAACCTTCAGCCCGCTGTGGATGAGGAAAGAGCAGTTCCCAACTTTCCAGACATTTGAAGCATGATTTTAGCTTTTAAAATGTGGAAGTTTTGCAGCTTCCCAGTGGCCTCTTAAATGTTTTGGATGAAGAAAGATACATTTTTCCTTTTTGAGACTGCCTGCTTGTCTGTTGTTTAAACAGTGACTATATGAAGTAGGCTGGAATTTGGGAAGCAGCCCAGTGGACTTGGTGATCAGTGAGCAATGATGCAAAGGTGTACAAGTGCAGCTTATTGTAAGACTCTTTTAGAGTGGTGTGGTTTTGGTGTACAGTCTTTTAAAAAATAACAGCTTGGTAGTGCACATGATTTTGTGGATGGAAGTTGTAAGAGAAGTCTCTGGTAATATTTTATCTGAAGTTTTCTTGTCATTATAACTTAGTGACAGGTTCTGTTGAGCTTGTTTCTGCTTTACACATTGTGTTTAGGTCAAAGGGTGCTAAAAATGCTGTTGATACTTTAGAGATTTGGAAAATCCTAGATCTTAATTCCTTGCAGTAAGGATACCAGAGGATTTTTATAGTCCCACTGAGAGGCCATATTTAGACATCTGGTATCTTCAGACATTCACTGAAAAATGTGGTCCTTGAGTCCTTCAAGACTCAGGACAGAAGCAAGTACAAGCTAAAACGCTTTTCTAACATAGGTTGTGTATCAGCACCTTGAAACTGTAGAAACATGAAATAAAAGATCAAGAGAAGTGCTGAATTACTTATTCTTCAGGAGGAAACCCACAGCTTCATCTCTGTCTTGGGACTAGTTAATGTATTCCAGCCTCCTTTTGGAAGCCTGGGCAATAGAACAGGAAGGAATATTGACATTTAATGGGGCTGGTCTGAATCAAATAAAGAACTAGTCCAATGTCTGGAGAACTTGGCTAATGAAAGATTTCTGTTTCTAGCTACTGCCTAGTCACTTCTAATCCAATGACAAGCACACAGTCAGTGGATATGAGCCAGTCTCCAGCTCTTTGCAGTGTGTTAGTGTTCGGCTCCTGCTTATAATCTCCCTTTTGTTTTAATGACACTTGTATTCCTGATTGCATAATAGCATAACTTCAAGAGGAGTACAGGAGAGTTTCTGTCAGAGAGAGGTGCTCCTAGGAAACAGGAAAGTAGGGTCAAGACCACCAGGACAAGGGAAATTGTGGACCAAACTTCCTGGGTAGCTGTTTTGCTCACTGAGTGATGATGTTGCAGAGGAACAGCACCACCATCAGTTAGAAACTAGCTCAGACTGCATTTCATTAGGACTTTCTGCATGGAAGATGAGCTGAGTCAGGCTGCTAGATATGGGAAAATGAGGTACCCAGTTGCTCAAGCTAGAGCTTCTTTGGAAATGTGTGGAAGAAGGACTCTGTACTCCAAAGAAAAATGTAGGTTAAGAGGAGGATAGCAGTTGGCCAGTTCAGAGATTTCAAGGGCTATGCAGTTAACAAGCAAGGGTTTGGTTTTTTTAGTACCAGTTTAGGTAATAGGAGACTAAAATGTACATAGCTCTTTTTGAATCTGTCCTGTAGGCTCTTCAGGCAAGGACTTTATCACATCCCCCAGAAGGAAAGGATATGAAAGGTGACTCCATATTTGAGAAGTTTCCATTAAGAAAACAAGGAAACAAAGGAGTTTCCCCTTTATAGGG